ATACCAGATTTACTTCTAGATGTTGAGCTCGCAAAGATGTTAAAATAAAGAAGGAGGGTATCGGCAATCCAACATTTATAGCTGTTACGCCATTAGGTGATCTTTAGAACACTCACACTTTTACTTTGTTACAAAAACCTCCTTCTTCGCTGGCAGGCAACGTAGTAGTCACCACCTTTTCAAGCTTGTTCCCTGAAGTCGCTTCAGTCCAGAGATCTTTTTAAGAAGGGTGGAGGTACACCTGACCACAGCGCACCAGGGGCAGTCAGTTTTCTCAGGACTGCTCCATCTTTACATTGGTTACCTGTGGCACATCCCCTCTTGCCACAAGGCCTGCTCTGTGGAAACCACAGGACCGCAACCCGAGACGCATTGGAGTCCGCAGCACAGCTTAAGGTCCAGACACTCGGGTGGGATTTCTTGGGCTCTCTGACACTTTTGTCCCACCAAATTCACAGCTTACAAATTTTCATCATAAACAATTCTTATTAGGAAGGGAAAGACAAGGCACGTAGACCAGAATTAGTATTAGAAAGCCATGACTCAACCCAGAGGCATGGAAGAAACCAAGTTAAACGCTGTTCCTCAACTGGTCCTTCAAGTGGCTTTGCTTTGCCAGTGTTATGAAAGAAAGAACAGTTAGCATGATTCAGCTCAGGACGCAAGAAAAAAACACAGAATGCCCAGGAACGGCTGGTTGTAAAGGGCAGCGCTGGCATTAGTCATGTTCGATGAAAGCCTTCATAAGTGACCGTGCGGAAAGTTCGCAGTACAGAAGATGAGCCAGTCCTCCCAGGAAAGAAACCAGAGGCTTTTCACATGATGAAATACATAATGTCTCTTAGACTATGATTCACTGGAGGAAAGAACCAGGGCAGCCGTTTCTTTTGCCAACATGGCAGGATCATTGCACCTGTTTGCTGTGCCTCTGCCAGAGCCATGGCTTACCTCTGGAGGGAACGTAGCCACCCCAGTTTCTGGGCCCGCTTGAGGTAAGTCTTATAGAAACTCTTAACCCTGGGAGATCATCCCTCCTACCTGTGTACCTAGGCAGGGGGACGGAGGGGGCAGTGGAGGCTGCAGTAAGACCGAGGTAGCCCGCAGTTCAGTTCTTTTGACGAAAGCCATCAATCCATTTCCTAACTGCGTTAACCAATTGTGGGCGGCAGGGGAGCTGAAACCTATCCCGGCCCGCAATGGCCAGATACACCCTGGATGGGAAACTAGTCGAGCACAGTTTTTGCAGAAATGCAGATTGAAAGATTTTCAGAAGCTAAATGAACACACGTGACAGCGCACCCGGTGGGCTGAGCGCTCCTGCCCTGGTGGAAGGTGCAGGCCGAAAGTGGGACAGCGGTCTCGTTCCACTGCACGGGGGCGGGTGGAGGAGGGACGGGGGTATTTAAGAAAAGCACGCAGTGGTTAAAATTGAGAGCAGGTTTGGCGTAGCAGGATCCCATCTCTTACCTGCATTTATCAGACGTGATGCAGCAAAGGTGCAAGTGGGGTGGGCATGTTACTTTCGCTATCAATATGCTTGCAATGAAAACACCCCTCCATTTTCAGATCTCGGGCCGACGGTTTCATTCAAAACAGACACGTAGCTAACCAAGTCGGAATTACCAGAGAGACCATGCGATGGGATGATGAAGCATACTTGGATCTCACAATGTCAGATCAAAACTGGTCTGCCACTAAGCTTTGACATCAATACATCCCTGGCATGAAAGCGAGGTCTGACTAAAGTGTGTGTGTGTGTGTGTGAGTGAGGGGGGGGTTACAAAGATATCAAAATGGAAAAACAATGCAGAAAATTATTTCCACCCAGAAAGGATTGTAAAGCTCCAGCACGGTCGGCGAGAAACGGGACTTTGCATGTTTCCAGATCGAAAATGAAGTTTGCAAGAAATTGCACCATGAGGTCAAAACCGCTTCTTTGAAAAGCTGCAAAACAACCAAAAAAAAAAGTCTCAGAACCGTCCAGTAGCAGTTGCAAAGCAGGAGTCAGAATGAAAAAATCACCTCCACCGAATATTTAAACTGAAAATGAAAATGTGTTCTACTGCCATTCTTGCACACAGCAATCCAGACCCACAGGCCGGAGGATGTCTCCTGAGCTGTTGTGCTCAGGCCCAGCATGCAGCAGTGTGCTGTGTAACAGGTACACACTTCTGCAGGGAGAGAAATGACTGTATACCAACATATGACCAGGATCAGGCCACACTGGCCATAAATAAGCACAATAACATTTTTAAACTAAAACCCTTGGGCGGTTAAATTGGTGTCTCAGCATAAATGATCAAAATGAAATTCCTGGCACACGCTACTTGACTGATAACTTCACAACCTTATGCAGTTTCAGAAACCGTGTTTTCTCTCCAGTCCTTTAAAAACTGCAACAGACATTTTTTTCTGTGTTTTAATCCAAAATGAAAGCAGACCTGAACATTAGTACAGCAGTTTTTGATATGCACAAAAATACTTTTTGTGCTTATATCATGTTTAGAAATTGGGAAAAAAAATTACAACAATCAACCGGTAATAGTACAGGCAAGACAAAACCAAACTTTTTTTTTGTTTTTGTTTTTAATCTACACCAAAAATAAAAAATAAAAAACAAAAACAGACAAAGAATAATTCAAAACATTTCTTGTCATCTGGACGGGATGTGCACATGCACAGAAACCGAAAAGTACAAAAGTTTGGGAAAAATAATTACTTCCATTAGTAAGATATTGATTTTTATTATGTCCCCACTAACAAACGGGACACGTAATTTGCTTTTGGGAAGGTTAATTAAACCCTTTATCACTTGAGCTAAAGAGAAATGTCCTGTTTAAACCAAAGTGCTGACTGGCACCTTTTGTTAATTTAGAAACACTGCTGTGTGAACTTTAAAACTCCTTTAATGCTTCAGGTGTGTTTCAGTGGAGTGGCAGAGAGCAAGCTCAAAAAACAGAAACCCAGAATATTAACAAAGATAAATAACATTTTCCAAAAATAAAGACAAACCCAGCAATCTCATCCCAAGACTCTAGGCTCTCCCAGACTGCTCTGACCCTAGTTAAAGTCTACCGTTATACTATGTAAAAAAATAGAGTAAAGTGTAATATAACAGAGTGAAATTATTTCAAAATCATGGTAACGTACAAGGAGGTACGGTAAAGCATAGTACAAACCACAGGAAACTATGGCGACGCCTGATCGGGTGTGGCGAACTCCATAAAACTGCGAAAATGCAGTGCAAAGTTACTGTGGTATTTTACCGTGAGATGCTGGTCAACTTTAAAGAACATAAAGGATTGCAGAGCTTTTGGAGTTGTGGTAATAACACGAGGGAAGTCTGAAAGACTTGTAGGGGAGGCCTGGATGCTGACGTAGGTATTGGTACACACTGGCTTATCTGTCGGCAGAAGCCACACACACTTCTGATTACTGCAGCTAAATTTACATCCCCTTAGTCTTGATGTCCCGGTTTTATTCTTTTGAAAAAAAAATATTTAAAATTTTTTCACCTCATCTGGAAACGCAGTGAAAAAGATTCATATAATCCGTGCACATTTGCTAACTACAAAATCTACATTGCAGTGTGAACTTCACTCCAAGGGGGAAGTTCAACAGTACATGAAAGAGGCAAGTGTCTATATACTGTACTCTTGAAAGCCAACAGTGTGGCTTAGCGACCACTCTCACTTGTTGCACGTTGTAACTCGAGGCAGAGACATGTCACAAAACCAGATGTTCCAAACAAAACAAAAATAAGCCCTGACAAAAAAACAGGTTTTCAGTCTGTGGGTTTTTTTTTCTTCCCACAGCAGTGCAGACACTGCAAGACACAGAACTCAAAGAGTGAACTAGAAGAAGCCCCCTCTCTCCTCTCTCTCCGAATGAACTCCCAGCCCGGGTCTGCAGGCTGCCTGCTCACCACGGACCAGCAGTCCTGGAGGATGAGGTCAACAAGCCAGCATCCCCCAGCCCACCGCAATCTGGACATATTCACACAATTTATAGACAAAAGAGACAGGAACATCTGGGCTCTCCACTGTTACTGAACAAAAAAAAAATGACATAAAAGCTTGTTAAAACGTTTTGTCAACACAGACTGACATGAGGAAACTGCTGTCCCTGTGGCGCGGGGGGAGGAAGAGGACACAGATCTCAATTACCCCAGTAAACACGTTGGCCTCCCGGGGCTCGACTGGGGTCAGGTTGGTACGGACAGGCAAGTGGTACTGTCTGTGAGGGACGTGCCTCTTTTCCAGCAGGCACTGACTCGCCGGTACAGTGCAGTGTGCTACGTGTGAGGTGTGAAGAGACCTCGAGGAAAAGGAGGAGGAGCCTGACTATTCTTCCTCATTCTACCCTGTGCGTGGCTGCGGGATTTGTAGCTGGAAGCTAAACACAGAAAAACATACAACTGGCAATTCCCCCCAAAAAAATGACCATGCTCCCCTACTATTTCAGGACCCAACTTGGCTGTGGCACACTGTTCATGCTCTTTACTGGACCATCGCAGCAATCTGCTAGTTCGGGGGTAGAAACTCCCAGAGACCCAAGCTTAAAGATGGCCAGAGCTTAGTGCCAAAATGGAGCTTTACATGAGAGGGAACACAATGGGCACAACTCACAGCAATACATGTTACCTCTGGAAAAGCAGACTTCTCTTAAGGACGAGGACTGAGCTTTTCAATGAATGGAAGTGGGGGAAAACACTGGCTTATCAACACTTCATGTGATTGCCTGTTTATGTTTTGAATTAGTAAGCCTGTTACAAAAATGAAATAAAGGGAAAGCTGATTTAATGTCATCCAATGATCAAAAAAACCACTAATGACGTAAGAAAACCGAAATCTTAACACTGAAATTCACACTTTTTATCAAAACCGTTTACTCCAGTTTCCTCTTGCAGTTTCTCCTTGATTCTTATGCATTTTTTAAAAAGTGTTTTTAAAACCTTCTTTTTTAAAATGAGTGCTTAATTATTTAAAAATAAGTGAATAATAAAAACAAAGGAATTGCTTTAAAAAAAAAATCGAGAAGGAAAAAATACTTTTCCTATTTTTTTTTTACACTTCTGAAAATCCGGGTGTGTTTCCATGATTTTGGGATCATTATTGCTTTCTGGCAGCGACAATGCATCCAGAGGGCCACTCAGAGGGATGGCGGGTCCGAGCCGGTATTTTTCTTCCTCCTCTTCATGAGCAGAGGGTTAGAGGCGTCCTGAATTGTTTTGATTTTTATTTGCTCGTAATCAACTCTCATGGTCGCCAAGGCGCTGGTCATTTCCTCCTGAGGTAACAAATAGAGATTTAAAAAATATTAAACACTTTGTACCAAAACACCTGTGCAGGCTGTACAAAACTGAAAGTCAAAGATGAGCCATGCTGAAGGAGTCTGCCAGTAAAATCCGAGAGAGTAGTTCAAAGCACCATCAGCAACTCCTGGTCTCGATTTGACACACTTATAAAAGAACATAAGAATAGTCACAAATGACAGGAGGCCGTTCGGTCCATTTTGCTCATTTGATTACTGGTACCTCATTGATCCCCAAATTCTAGCCAGCTATGTCTCACAGAATCCCAGAGTGTTACCTGCCAAAGCTTGTCTGGGAAGTTCGCCCCAGAACCCCTCCATTCTGCATATAAATTCAGTCTCCCCTTTTCAGCAAGATTGAAATCCATTTCTTAAATCCTCTGCTCAAGACTCAACAGGTTTCTGCCCAACTACAGTCCTCAAGGGCCTCTGTCCAGCAGATTTCACGGGTCTCTTTAAACATCTCCAGCTTTTTCACTATGTCCAGTTCAGCAAATAATGACTTAAATTATATAACTGACCCTCCAGGAGGGGAGTTATGCTCCTGTTCTTTAATCTATTATGAGGATGCTTCTTTGACAGCAGGACAATTGTTCTGATGTAATTCTTTAGAGAACTTGCTTGGTACAGCAAACATTTTGTTTGTGTATTTGTAAATAGCGTTGTGTAGCAGTAATAGAGCACACAACTGCAGAAAGGTTTTAGTATAGATTGTTTTCAAGAGCCACATACTGCCCTGGATGCTGGGAGGACTTCACAGACGTTCCCAAAAACTTCTTTCCATCGGCTAAGTTTACTTTTGACTTCCAATACAAATTCTACTCTGCAGTCACCCCGCACAGCTAACATAAAAGCAAACCTCATTTTTTGCTTTTAACATTCACACAAATGTTTACCACCAACATAAAAACAGAAGACTGGACCACTGTGAGCACATGACAACATACCTCACTTTGTAACTTGGTATTTCTAAAGGGCAATAAGATCTAAAGGGACAGTATGTGGCTATTCTGTTTTGTTCCTGGACAGTTCTCATCACAGCCCTGATGACCCCTTCTGGTTTCACATTAGCCAAGCTACCCACCCAATCACCTGACTTGCATTTTGTGAATTAGAGCTTTAATCTCTGAAACAAATGGAATGATGCTTAGCAAAGAAAGCCTCAAGCCACATATCTATTCAAGAGGTCAAATAAAGCCCATTTATATGTCTAATAAAGGGGTTAAAAATGTGGCAAGTGAGAGCGCCCCCACATGGCAGAAACCTGAAGACACCAGGGTCCGCAGGACTGGAAGGGGGAAAACGGTTTCTCTTTCTCCAGGCCTCAGTTAAACAGACAAGCTGGCCTGCTTCTTTCGTTCAGCCATTGTTCAGGACCCTGAGCCAGTACCGCCGCGATATGGCGATTGTCGAGAGTGCACGAGCACGCCTCTGATTACCTTGACATCCTCCCACACATCCTTCTCCTCCTTCAGGACCCGGCTGGTGTGGAGAGGGGTCTGTGGCACCTCCATCGATTGCTGGACACCGCCGATCGCAGAACACACGTGCACAAAGAGAACAGAGCAAAAATGAGCCGTCTCGTTTCCCCGGTGCTGCAGGACAGCCAGCTTGCACTGCCCAGCTTCCTGCGCTTTGTCTAGGTCCAAGGGGTTTTGTATTCTGTCTTAGTGATAAAACCCAAGGAGTTTCTATCGCTCCCACACTGCTAAAAAAAAAAATGATCAGCCGCAACTCGGCTTCCCCTCATTGTTCTCCGCAAAATAAGTGTCAAGCAAAAGGCCTGACCAACATTTTTCATGAAACAAATCCTGGTCGTTGTGCAAATCTGGAAATCTGTTACATCACGTGTTTAAGCCCACCCCCCGCAGTTTTCTTCTTCGCTCATGAAATGTAAAATTATCGGGCTGTACAGCTCCCGCTCAGATGCCACTCATAAAATACAGACTGGACATTTCAGGATTTTCATTTGAAAATCGGGTGGCCCAGTGTGACGCATCTCAGAACCAACACCCACCTCTCCACCGCCCTCTTCTCATGTGGGCTGTGCAGCCCCAGAACAGGAGGTACAAATTCATCGATTTATCAATCTTATTGCATTAGCGCAGCCAGCCAAGGACATCCCCCATCTGCACCCGCGCCACTGTGAGCTACTGCTACACACACACCAGCCAGCGGGCTGAACTGACAAAGCTTGTGACAATCTTACATTGATCCAGGGGTGGTTCATGAACTCCGTTATTGTCATCCTCTGAGTGGGTTCGGTCTTCAGGAGGTGTCTAATTAGTTGCTTTGCTGAAAGGGGGAGGGAAAAGGCACCAAATGATTCACCTGGTATTTTTTGTCCCTCAAGAATAACGAAAGCATTAGCATAAAACCGATGGCCCGCGAACACTGCCCTGCAGCAGCCGAGTCAATTCCCATGAGGTTGGCTTGTCTGTCTGTGAAAGTGCGTGCACTAAATCAGACATGTACAGGGGGGACAATCTTGCCGCGCTCCTCGGTCCCAGCTTGCTCATTCCTGTATGTCAACCTTCTCCTCTTCCACATGTGAGCGCCAGCAATCTGGAACTGTCCCCCCACCCACACAGCCCCCCCCCCCCTCTTCACAAGAAGAAAACAAACTGATGCCTGACGGCTTGCCAGGCAGGGCAGAGCTACCCAGTGCAGGGCGCTCGTGACTGCCGTGCCTGCTGGGGCTTGGTCTATCTAAGCTCTTGACCACTCCACTGAACCACCAGTTCCACCAACAACTCAGTAATTGGAGCTTTCGGAATGAGATATTTTATTTGACCGATTCAAATTCATAAGCACCTCAACGGCTTTTCCTATTTCGGAGTCAAAATCCATTATAAAAGCATCATTTTTCCAATAAATCCTTTATTCCTGAAGAAATCCCTTTCCTGAAGCCTTCCAGATTTCCAACTCTGGACAGTTCACACCTGGGAGACTGCAACAGAAATGATGAAACTTCTACCGTTTTCATTATTTTCCTTCTCTGTTAGTGTTCTTCTCTCATCTGTTGTTCGACACTGGTCTTCTGTTTTGATGTTAATTTTGACTACGGGGATGGAGGGATGAAGGAGGGAGTTTACTTGTACTAAGGTCAGATGTTCTCGTTCTCCTCCATTTGCAGGCACCATTAAATGGTAAAAGAGTCCTTCACAAATGAGTAGCTCCATCAATTTGCACTCTGAGCTAAAAAACAAAGATCACTGCGGTGACCAGCGACCCCTGACTTGGGAGCCCTTTCTGAACCAGAAGTTACAGTGAAACGGCTGCAATGTGTTTTCTCTTGTTTAGTTTCTGTGGAAACAGCAGCGTGACACTGCTGCTGCATGTCTGCGAGTCTCAGATCCATCACGAGTGGCTGCTGAAAATCACAAGTGGCAGAGCTGAGAAAAAATATTACTGAAGTACAAAAACAGGAAGCCAGACCTGAGAATCCCTAGAATTCCACTCAAGAAATTAGAAAACTTGCAGTTTTGTGTAGCTGCTGGCACCCAGGTTGTGTTACTAGTGAAACTGAAGTCTTCCGGTGCGAGATAATTTGTTTTCAAACTTCATAAATTTGCAAATTTAGGTGACCCTGATTTAAAAAGTAACTGAGTACTACTTTATTTAAAACAACACCAACTGCTTGTTGATCTTTCTAGTAACAGGGAAGCTCTTAAAAGGCACCACACTTCTGCGTTAAAATGTCTAAGTAATGGCTCATTACATACATACAAAACATTCTCTTAAAATTCAGAAAAAATTTGCATCTCAGTACATGAACTACTGTACATTGACCCATGTTAGTTACTAATTAGTGCAATTAGGCAGTTACCAGCTCCTGAAGTCTTGAGAAACTACAGACACACCTAATCTCTTCCTGACCGTAGCAAACAGAAGACATTTTGTCCACTCTTCCCAAAGAGCCGCCCCAAAATCCCCAAGCCCAGGGCACACTGGCTGGCGTACCTTCTTCCGAGACCTCCGACCACTCCGGATTGGGGAACTCATACTGCCCCATGCGGATCCGTTTCTTCATCCCCGGAGAGATGGCCAGGCCGTGATTGGAATAGAAAGGCGGATAGCCACAGAGCCTGCAGGGGAGAGAGGGTGGAAGATGAGGAATGCTTCACAGCACAGGCACACCAAGGAAGCCTTAAAGCCAACAAGACAGATGGGCTTAAAACCCTGCCTTCATTTGCCAACTTAATGTCCTTATGCTTCTGCAAAGGCCATTACCAGAAGAATATCCTGGAGAAGGAATTCCTTTGTGGAATTATGCGATGGGAGGACCTGCATGGTTACCACACATTTTAAGAAAAAGACCTGGAATCACCCATTACTTTGTGTTATTTCATTCCAATACACTTTGAAAATCAGCAATTGATATCAGAGTCTGCACTCTGGCAGTGACTCCCGAACACCCACAGTGACAGCAATGCCCTGACACTGGTCCTGCCAGTCTGCAATGATCACAGTGCCCTGTGGGAGAGTTCGTGCTGGGGGTAGGGGAATCACGTCTCTCACTGATGTCACTGCAAGTAACTGGAGTTGCCGTTTCTCCAATAATTAACACAGCTCTGGCCGACTAATACCAACCCCACCCTGGGGAGACTCTGACAGCTCCCTTGAGAAATCTAGGTCAAGGCTGACTGGTGACATGCCCCTGGCTCAAATCCGTGACCTCTGGGTGACACAGCTCAACCTGTGCTCTGACATTTTATTTATCCTGCCACTCTTCAATCGCCACGCTTTGCCCAAGTTTGTGCTTTATTTTGTAGCTTAATTTCACTACATTTTAATACACTTTTACAGCAATCTGGCTTGATACAGGCAAGCTCCTGGGATTACCCTTCAGGCTCCCAATTCATTCTTGCGAGGATAAACAGTCATAAGTTCCTGATGAAACTTAACTTTACAGCCACACATTTGTCAGTGCAGCAGCAAGGCCAGGGCAGGTGCTGTTCGGTTTTCTGTTCAGGCAAGTACCCTTGTTACTCTCCAGTAATTGCTGGAAAAGCAATTTGCCAGATGCCTTTTTATTATCTTAAAGTAAAGCTTTTTTCCCCCTAAGAAACCAAAGGTAGATGTTATCTATGTGGACACAGAGGTGTAAACAGCCTTTTGACAAACTGGCTACAGGAAGCCCCCTGCTCCTCTCCAAGCCAAAGTTCATTCACTTACAGGATGTACATGATGACGCCCAGAGACCACATGTCACATGACTTATCGTACTTTTCGGGACCAAGAACCTCAGGGGCTAAAAATGAAAAGAACAAAATGAGAACCAAGATTTTCCTTTTTTCTTTTATATTTTTAAAAATTCCAGACCCATTTACAACTTTCTCAAAGCTATTTTAGCCCTTCTTGAACATTAACCTATCCAGAAGAAACACTTCAGTGCATTAGGGAACCATAAAACACAATACAGTTAAAGAAAATCTGAAACAAATTCTTCCCCTTTGCAGGAAAAGGAAAACTACAGCCCCGCCCCGCTGAGTCTTCATAAAACAGTACATAAGAAATCCGATCCTTTGTATAACTTAAACTAAAGTCTACGTAAAGAGAAGCATGAAGAAACTTTCGCTCCACATTGGGGACGATTAAACCATCTCGCACACAGGTTCCAGTGCTTCAATGTGCAGCCTTTTGGAGGATTCTTACCCACGTAGTAGGGTGTGTAGCAGGGTGTGGCCAGGGAGTTGTGTGTAGTGGTTTCTTTGGCAAACCCAAAGTCTGTCAGTTTCAGGACAGCATTGGGCCTCTTAGAGGTATACAGCAGGTTCTCTGGCTGTAAAACAGGAAAGGAGACAATCACACCACATTTCTACAAACTGCTTTTCCATACGTTTGCAGTGTGCAGAGGACAGGCCAGGATGTGCCAGCCCTTCTTCGGGCATTTGGAAACCTGAACTCTTGGGCTGGGCCTGCAAGCGAAAGGCCTGTGGTTGGTGTTCCCATGTGTTTGCTTAGGGAAACTGTTAATCAATGACAATATATTGGAAAAATTGAACTCTGTCCCCCTTCCCGACCCTGTCACCACTCAGACAACGGGAAGCTTTACCTTGACGTCTCGGTGTGCAATGTTGATGCCGTGCAGGAACTGGATAGCCTCCCCTATGCTCTTCATGATATCGGAGGCCTCTAAAAGGACAGGGGAAGGAGGAAACTGTATCACTAGACGCAATAGCAAATTATATCCATTAATTTCTGAAATAAATGTACATGACCAGCGTGCTATGCGGTTTCTGCTCGAGACTGCAGTGGTGATGGGCTCTTGTCAGTTGGGAATTGTGGAACAGAATGGGTACAGCACTTGGTAAACCACTGGACTGAGGAGACCTGTACTCAGAGCTCCAGGTGTGGGTACAGCACACGGAGGAGCCTCCATACCTCTCTCAGTGAAGGCCTGGTCCCCTCGGTCCTGAATTCGGCTAAACAGCTCTCCGCCATCCATGCTGCAAAACACGAAGGGAGCACTGCAGTACGCATCGCAGCACGAAGGAGAAGAGGCATCTGAAGCGTCCGTGCAACGGTCACCACATTGCATGGAAACGGAGACGGTGACAAAAAACTTGCATTTCACACCTCTTCCTTGCCGACGTTCACAAGTGAAGGCAGGATATTAATGATTCAGACGCATTTCTACAGACGTAACGTGCCAACGGCACAGAATGTTTTTTGACCACAGAACGTGATAAAGCCAATACTCAGCAGATGTTCTTTAAGAGTAATGTGAAATGATTTGGTTAATCCTTGAATCATCAAAAACTACATTTAAAAATAGAAATCTGACAGCATGACAATTAGAACAGACTTCTATGTATCGTGTACATTTTCTGTGTTCTTTTCTGCAGAAAAGAGAAAGGTAATTAAAATACATAAAGGCCAATATTGCATGCACAAATGATGCATACATATTTCTAGAAAGCAAATATGCCAATCCTTCAGTCACAAAAAAACATGGCAAAATAACTAAGGACAGTTGGTAAGAGATGGCGTCATTCGTACTCACTAAAAATGTGATGTATTTCAAATGGTAAGAAGAAACCTCTGGTTCTTTAGCTTTATAAATAGACTTAAATAAATAAAATAGTCTTTCCAAAGAACCTCAGTTTCGTTTTACTTTAATTCTTCAATGTCCCAAACAGTTTACTAGCTCTTCTGGAAATTGCACAAATCTTTACTGTAAGATTGCAGGTGATGAATAAAGTCAGAAAAAGCACGCTGTTAGACCACAGTCATAAGAATTCTGCTATAGCATAACACACCATCAAACCAAACCTTTGTTCTTTTTCTGCATCACAAAATCTTTTGTCTCAAGCCACAACTCATCGGGGTCTGCCAAGTTTTACAATTTGGTTTGCATGACTCATCTGAGGGATACTGAAGTTATTGCCCCCTCCACTCCATTTTGGACCTTCCTCACAATCAGCTCCTTAATGACACCTGAAGAAGGCTCCATGGCCAAAACGTTGTGTTCTCTTTCTTCTTTTTTTCAGCATGGAATAAACCTATTACTAGCTCCTTAATGAGTTCATTAGGGGGACTAAGACAGCAATGACGGATCAGGTTACATCCCATGACCACAGATCCTCAGGAAGAGAACCCCTGACCCCTGCCTATGTACACAGAGATACCGCCATCTGTCAGGCCAAATGCATCCTGTTTTACAAGCAGACATCAATCCCATTACCTTGTCAAACAAGCCACAGGATTCTCCTGGGTAACACCATAAACCAACAAAAACCATAGAGCCAGCTTCCCCACCTCTCCAGAACCACGTCAAGAACCATGCTTCAGGAGGGCTGAACACATTGCCACCGTAACTAGACAACAGTGGCCGGAGAATGTATTGTGGACATATTAACTATATAGTATTGCTATCATGTGCCACAATCCTCTCAAACAGTAACCTGTGCTTAACTCAGATATTGTATTTTTATTGTTTGCAAATGATAGACAAATACAACACAACAGGCAATGAAATAACCAATTATTTATAATGTTGTATATTAAACGCAACGTACATCCGACATCTTTTAACTCTAGCCCAATTTTATGTAAATTTTCAAAATAACCGACATATTGTGGTTTTTATTGTGATTTTTCTAATTTTTTTTTTCACCCCAAAACCCATTTTTTTTTGTTATTCTAACAGCAGACGGCCCAAGTTCTGTCACAAAGGGGAAATAGCTGCTATTTCCTCTCTGTCAAAAAAACTGGCACATATCTATAACCACATGAGAAGCCGGGGCCAGGGTACAGCTTGTTACCTGGGGCAAGCGGGCCGACGAGGAGCAAGTATCTAACGAGAAAAAAACCACAGCACGTTTCAGGACTTTCGGTATTAATCACCAACGCTGCAAATACAAAGAGCCAAAAAATGCATTTCTGCCTTCATTTCAGTTTATAACTTATTTTTTCACTCTTAAAAAGAACAACAACAACAACACATACAAAAAAATTCCCCCTTGAAGCAGGAAGTCACATTTGGGGCACACTTCAAGGTGCAAAACTGACTGAACACGACAACCGACGCTCTGTCTAGGAGACCCACGCAATGCTTCCAGACCTGGGCTTCTTCAGACTACCACGCCGATTAGAAGGACCTAAAATAAAACAGTTGAACTGTGTTTTAACCCGACCAGGGTGTGAAACCCAAGGTACTGCGGAGACCACCATTCAGAGAAGACCCCCGCCGGCATGCGGCTTTCCTGCCAGCAGCATACAGAGCCTGCAGCAGCGCAGAACACCCACCCTGTGAAATCCCAGCAGCCCGCAAGAGAGACGGGCTCCAGCTAGCCTCCCCCAAGCCCTCAACTGGACGCTGCCCGCAGAGGTTCCACGTCACACTGCAAATGCTTCTTTCAAACCCTCAGTTCAACTTTGGCCCAATGACATTGTGGAATCGCCTACCAGCATTCCAGCATTCCATAAGGGATTATAAGCCAGGTGGACTGAAATAATAAAAAAAACCTGCTTTGCCAGGTTTATTCTGAGCTCATGTCAAACCTATAGCATAGGTATAACAAAACAAAAGAACATTTTAACTTGAACAATTAGAAGACATTTTACCGAAGAACTGGGCAAAGCAACTGCCTGGCGTGTTGCTCTAAACCCAGGGCTGCCCAATCTCCACCCTGGGAGGCTTCAGTCCCGTGGGTTTGACAGGTCGGTTCAAGCTGTCACCAAAACTAGAACACGTTATTAAACCAAAGAAACCGACAATTTTTGGGACTGTCCAGTTAAGATTAAAGGTGGAACAAAAAGCCTACAGATGCAAGAACTACTCAAAACCCAGGCTGGTTACCTCTGTTCTCTAACCTGTGAAGTTGAGCAGCATGCTTTTGCTTTAAAGGGGAATGCAACACTTTTTACAGACTGGGGTTATAATGAGTCGGCAATGGTTAGTGCATTTCAAACCACAATGAGACTACCAAGTAACACGGTAACGTGTACAACCTCCTATTTACATCACAAAAGAGACAAAGTGTCAAATTACACGCAGCACCATACTGCAGTCACTGTCTGCGAGTCAGAGCGAGGCACCGTATCTTCCAATGATGCGAAAGCAGCATTATTACATTGTAAACAGGCTTCAGACCAAGCACATTCTGCTACAATAATAACAGTTAATATATTCATGAAACCGAGACATACAAGGCAACATGCTTTTTCATACTTTAATGTATTACAAAAAAGAGCAACATGCCAGCCGACAAAAATACACTCATAATAATCAAGGTTGACAGGGGACCATGTTTCTCATTTGCTTCCAGAGACTAGTGAGCAGGAAGGGCTGGGTTAAGTCACAATTTGTGCGAACTCTCGCTCTTACCTGTTGTGAGACCCACAGTTTCTCGACTGCCTGCGACAACATGGCGACCACATAGTACTTTCACAAAGGTCACGATTTTACACACTTTAAAATCTGTCACATTTTGAGATACCGTTTAATTTATTTTGTTACCGAGATAAAAGAGCCAGTCTGAGAAATTGGAATGGCAGTTCCCCTTTAAGAAAAAACCCTGACAAAAACACTTTTGACACCGTGAAAGTTGCACTACATTTTGCTGCATCCAACAGTCAGATCTCACATCACTAAGATCACTAAGTTGAGGCACGCAGTGTTCCAGAGATCAAACTCAAGATAGACTGACTTATCACCAGGAAATGGGTATAGGCTCCAGTTGTTAAGAAAGGCAGAGAAAGCTCAATTTATACATCTTATCCATCTGTCTCCTTCTAGGAACGGACTGAAGTTGTGTATTTTGCATTTTCTCACTTGAGGTGCTGACATCCTTGATAAAATTAAAATAAGAACTTAAAAACTGGAATGGTTTTATTCAAAACAAACTTATGAAGACTGACCTGTAAACATTAAGTAATGGCATTGGGAAGTCTTGTAATTCCACTAATTTAATTAATATCACAAATATATAATACAATGAATACAGAATTTGAAAAGGATTCAGTGAGGAAAATCTTCACCTGTGATCTTTAAAGAAAAAAAAACTGATGATTTGGATATATATATTCCTTCTGCCAAGCTAATGTGAGTTCACGGAAAATATTTCAGCGAAGAAATGGTGATAAATTCAATTTCCATTTCTTTAAAAAAAAATGAAATTATGATTCACATTTTTACCATTTCCTGCCTTTACATTTCTTTTTTGATTTCAATCTGAATTCTGGTAACATCTTGAATTTTAATACTGTGGTTAATCGTACCAAAGCGAACGAAGAGATGAAAAACTTAAAGCTGAGAAGTGCAAACCACTAGGCTACCCTGCAGACAAGTTTCTAAAAACTAAACACAACCTATCTTCTTTTCCTCTACGACAGTACAACTGCTATAAAATGTTGACAGTTTGATGCTGATGCCTTAGGTCACAACCTTGATCACAGCCTAGGAACTCAGAATAGTTTCTCCATTCAACAGTACAAGGAACACAGCAATCAAAGACAAGGAAGACCGCTAGAGAGATGTGGTTTGAGGAGGGGCAGAAACAACTGTACAGATGTGAAATATGATGCAGTAAAAAATATGTGCCTAAATGCTGTTGTTCAGAGAAGAAGGATGTCCTACTATATCAGGTAGCCACAAGCAACAAGACCTTAGTCTTAACAGCTTTCCCCATGGTCAAAAAACGAGGCAGACCCCTACTTCTGCTCAGGAAGACACACAATAAATAAGTGCAGACTGTCGAAAAGCAGACCCACGAAACTTATAAAGCCCCAAAACACCCTTTACTTCATTGGTAGAATTCAAAGCCTGGTCAGCTAAAGAAATCACACCTTTTAACATCAAGCCTGCATCTCACATTGTACTGGAGAGGTATGTGTTAATTGGGAAAAAGTTTCAGTTCAAAAATCAGTTTGGCAAATTATTCAACAACCAAGAGCACAACAACATTTATAGTGCTTTCAATTCAAAACGTATACCGTTCTCTTT